TATGGGATGTTTCCCTCTACTTCTAACATGATTTTCTTGTAGTTCGGGGAAACCATGTACGGGTTGCCGCAGGCTGGCCATATGAATGTGTAACCTTCCTCCATGCATTTCTTTCCAACAGACAGTACTGAAGGAGACTCATCTAAGACGAATGGGGAGTAGGTAGAGTCAAATTCGTCGAAATGAATGTCGGCGACTCCCTTTGTGGATGTCACTCCATTTGCGGTATAGAATGACATTGATTGGTCGCTTTCTCTCACTTCCAGACCTAATTTCTTGGCTCTGCCTTTCGATATCAAATCATACCCACATCCTGTGTCCATGATGAACTTTGTTCTTGACCCTTTGGCTGGAATAGACAATGTCTTTGTGTCTGCATGATCTTTCTTTCCCTCGCATACATGAGGAATGACTTTATGATGGAAAACTAGGCCGTCATCTTCGTCAAAAGACATAGTGACCGCTAGGTCACCCTTTGGTCCAACTGGTATTCGGACCCTCTTGATCTCAGTGTAGGGGACCATCAATATGCCTCTTGCCTCTGCGACCTTTTCTTCAAATCTGATTTGTTCTTTCCTCGTGTAGCAGGTGAGCTCTTTCTCATCGTATCGTTTGATGTCTGGACGTAGAGGTTTCCTTTCTACTACCTTCCATTTGTTCCTGACTGAGTAGATCGCTTCGTTCAACATGATCTCACAAGTCTCTTCATCAAAGGATACTTTTGCACCTCCTTCTCTTGCCTTGGCGGATGCAGCAATCCCTTCATCTTCGGATTCGTCCATGAAGAGTTCACCGTCAATGGCTGGGGCTCCAGGCTTCGCCTTAGGCTTCGGTTTGGGTTTTGCCTTGGGCTTTGGCCTATCGTCTCCTGAGTCAGCTGGTGCAGATATCCCTTTCTTAGGAGAGGCTTTTGGGTCATGGTAGAACTTGCAATCCTTCCCTTTGTCACAAGTTCCTCGAATCCACATCCAACATACTGGCTTGTCATTCTTTCCGACAGAAGATCCTCTGGATGGTGATCTGGGTTTCTTGTGACTGAATGGGCAATCTTTCCCCATAGTGCAGTTACCTTTCACGAAGTATTTGCGTGGTATCTTCTTCTTGTCTGTACTCGGACTTCGGCTGCGATCCTTTCCATCACCTTTACCTTTCCCCTTTCCCTTTTTGTTCTTGTCTTCAGGATGCTTCTTGGGGTTGGGTTTCGGCTTCACTGCAGCAGCGTCTTCTGAGACAACCTGTTCTTGTTGCCCTTTTGGTTTCTTCTTCGGATCAGCTGGTGCAGCTTTCAGTTTTGGAGCAGGTCTGCCTGGTTTGAGATTCTGAAAGATATTGGCCACATTCTTCACTGCCTTCTCCTTTTCCAGGATCATCCTGTCTTCAGTTTGCCGTTCGATGTGCCTTCTGATCATATCACGTAGATGTTTGTATGTCTTCTTGGCATCATCGTCGTTCATGCTGTTGTAGGCGCTGATGTCGTATGCCATGAGGTTTGAGTTCCTGATCTTTCTCCATAGGAGATCCCGAAGAGTTTCGTCGCTCGGGACGTCAACGGGCTTCATTCCTGCCAGAATCTCATCCCAAGTATGGAAGAACAACGATAAGTTCTTGTCTCCTTGATATTCTAGTTGGTAGAGGTGCATTGAAGTATATAAGACTTCCACATTTGATGTTGTCTTGAAATTCATAAGGATCAGGGCTAGGACCTCTCTTCCCTTTATGAGGCTTGATGTTCTCCCTTTTGCATTGATCCTCGTCCTCAACTTCATAGCTACACCTGAACCATCATCTTTCGCATCCATGACGACCTTGGTAAGAGCTAGGCCGAGTTTGGCATCGATTGAATGGAATCTTTGGTCTCCTGAGTCGACAAACTTGTCCGGATCAGGATCGTCCATGGCTTCTTTGATCCAGTCGATCCAGGGCTCTTGATCTGAATCATTGGCCGCAATGATGATCGATTGAATGAGATTTGCCTTCCATAGTCCAAGATCATTGATCCTGGGCCATGACGGAACGTTTATCTTTGATTCTTCCTTCCTCGATACTTTCATGATTGTAGAGGTTGCCGGTGCAAGATGAGATGAAGAGGATGCTTCTGCTTCTGAAATCTTGTCCCTCAATGATTTGTTCGCCTCGGATAGCTCAATTGATTTCTCCCTTTCCTCGGCGTACTCATTGTGGGTTTCGGCATACCATTCATACATCTCATCTCGGCTCTCTGTCATTTCATTGTACCCGTCCTTGTAGTGCTTCGCCTCCTCTTTTGCGTTCCGAATCTCATCTTCCTCGGACGCGTGGGTTGGTAACCCGCGGTCTCTGGAACTAGGACGCTTGCTGTACCGAGAGACTATGGGTGCCATTCGTGCTTCTGCTTTTAATTTCGCATTTTCCATAATGACATTCTTTGTCTCCTTCTGGCTTTCCAATAGTGCATTCTCCAGTTCTCTGATCTTCTGTTGAATTTCAGCACCATCATCGCCGAACATAGGAGCTCTCATCATATTCTCTCTTTTCAGCTGTGCGTTGGCTTCGGATAGAGCGAGGTTGGCGTCTTTCAACTGTTGTCGTTCACGGATGGAACCTTCTAGGACTTCGTTGTTGAATATTTCTCCTTTTGCGATAACCTCCTTTGCGACGTTTGCTTCGTATTCATGGTGGCTCGCCTTCATTTCTGCCATTTCTTTAGCAGAGACTTCAGTCTGGCATACAAATATCTCCATCCTCATGCCCACTTCCATCTCTTCTATCTCCGCTCTCGCGTTGAGTTCAGCTCCACGTGCCATAGCTAGTTGACCTCGTAGATGATCAATAACCATAGCTTCCTGATTGCTCTGATCTTGAGATGAGTGAACACTGTGTTGAAGACGTCTTTCCCTGACCTCACTGTTCCATTGTTCTTCTCTCTGGTGTTGGATCACCTCGTGCATGTTGACATTCTCATCCTGTAGCGCAATCATTCTAGCTTGTATCTGGTCAGCTATTCCGACGAAGGCTGTGTTCTCATCCTGAATGGCTTTTGATCTTCTATTGATCGCCAATGAAGATTCATTCTGTTCTTGGATGTGTCCAATTGCTGCTTGAAGCTCTTGGGACATTCTGTCCTTCGTTGCTTTCACAGATTCAAGCTCTGAATGTTCTTGATGAGTTTCTTGTGCAAGCTCTTGATATCTCATGTAGATATGTTCAGCTGTCGATTCCGCCAAGCGTAGCTTGTGTTCGAGCTCTTCAATTCTTATTGTCGCTCCTTCATCTTCCTGTGTCATCTCTTGTAGATGTTCCTGCATCTTCCTGTTGTAGTCAGACATTTGCCTGAACTCCACTTCAGCCTCGTGGTGTAGTCGCGAGTATCCGGCTTGGATGCATTCGTATTCTTCATGAAGAAAATTGTATGCGTTTCTCGCCGATCTCAATTCTTCACCCAGCTGAATCTCTCTTCTTTGCTCTTTTGTTCCTCTATCATCGTCACGTCTCTTCTCTATACTCCTTCTTGGGGATCTCGCGGTAGACGTTATAGGCGATGTAGATCTTGTTGTAGCTCTCATCGATCTTCTTGGTCCTACGGGTGCAAGATCGGTCAGATTCCGAGCCGGTGGCACGGATCTTTCCGAGATTTGTGATCCAGTAGGCATAGTGATAACGTCAGCATTTGCTGATGAATCAGTACCCATTGTAGAGTCTGGTGACGAAATGGTGTTGGGGCCACCAGGAGCAGCGAATGAATAGGGTTCGCTTCCATTTCCTCCTGAGCTTGACATTGCAGGTTTCTGTAATGACTAGTCTTGTTCCTGGTCTCGTGTAGCTCGTACGGCTATAAAGAGCGCGTACGGCTGATAACCTGCGAGTGGATCTTAATCAGCGAAGTTTGAAGCTATCACTGACGATCCATAAGCGGCGTAGCGTCGGAACGGAAACCGCACCTTTTCTAGTCGCTTGATCCTTGAGCCAAAGTACATATGGTACATATATATATATATATGTACAAGTTGCACTGTACGTGTCGCTGCACTTCCATTCGCAGAAACCGTTGAATCCTCTCAGGTGGTGTAAGTGTCTTAATAGTATATCATCCTTGAAGGCGAGTTGACACCATCCAATGGACAGTCGCAAAAACCAGATCGGGCTCTTAAGATAAGCAACCAGGCGCGCCCCCTCACGCTCAGAATCAGGAGCCCACACCATTGGCGAGCCAACTACTCCAGGCACCACTGTGTACCTGAAGTTCTGCAGCAAATGAAGGGTCAGAAAATGGGTGGCACATGGTGGCTCTGCCCACTGGATGCCAGATGCACATGTGGTCCTGTTCCCAAGTTATATACAGTACTTGTCGAACCAAAGCCCGTTGTTGCAATAGCACGTACTGTGCATCTCGCGATTCGTGAAGTTTGAAGAAAGGAGGCAGGAAATTTTCCAAACAGCCTGTTTTGAGACTGTTTCCTCTCAAGCAACCAGCAGTCATCTTGGTGTTTAACAGCCCGGATGACTTTTCGCCCAGCCAGCTGGATTCATTGCATCCAAGGGGCATCTCTAGGGCCAGGTGTAGTACCGCAGCTGAGCAAATGGCTGCATTTGCGGCTTTGGTGCTCATGGAACATAGGAAGACGCAAAGCAACCAAAAGGAAAAGATTAGCTACAGAAGAAGCCCCTTGTTCTGCTCTCGGCCTACTTGAACAAAGGTTGCATGGAAGACGTCAACGAAGGAACAAGAAACGCTTGGTCACAGCCGAGTTGGCCTTTTCATGGCAGGGTCCCCCTCCGCACTTTCCGGCAGTTTCGCACGGAGTGGAGTCCTCACCAGAAGAATATTTACAGCTATGCAGTGCACATGCATGTTTTTGTATCTGCATATGCGTATGTATGTCTGTGTTATTTTCCACTTCGAGGCCTTTGACATTAAAACAACGCACTAGCTGTAGATACTGGCACCGACCGTAAACTTATATAGCCTTTGAATTTGACGCATGTGAGTCTTGGAATAAGCATTTGCCCGCAGCCAATATTGCTCAGTCTTCCCACTCAAATCGCCTCAGCCATATGATTGAAACTGACTGAACTTGTGGGGCCTTGCTCTAAACCCTAAGAGCAACAGCCATCCAACGGCAGTAGATGGTTAGATGAGATGTTTAGTATAGTTTCATCAGACTTGTTTGGGTCTTTCGCAGGCGGTGGATCATGAGGCATGCCACTCAAGAATAACACCTGGACACAAAAACGAGAAGAGCAGAATACTGGGCAAGGCTTATTTGACCTGACACCTGGGGCTTTCCCCGATCGATGTGCTCCACTTTCAGTGGACCATGAACCCTCTGGGCTCACCGCTTGTCTCGCCTGCGCGGCTGTGGGCTTTTGGACCTCGGGACACTCGAGACGCTCCCGACAGCGAAGATGGGAGACGGTGGAGGCAGGTTCTGGAGGAAGTTCTGGGGAGGCTCTGGAGCAGCTTTTGGAAGAAGCTTCGCAGCAACTTTGCAGATGTGACATGATGTTATGCTGACACTTTGCATGTTGTCATGCTGTCAGGCGTTCATGTTCATACTGTGTGCGCTGTGATGCCAACATTCAAACTTGCTGGATGGTGTCGTGCTGGCGCGCTGTAGAAATGCTGTCATGCGGACATGTAGACACGCTAACATGTTGTCACGCTTATATGCTTATATGCTGCAGCGTTGTCATGCTGCAATGCTTGCACACATGTGCCGGCGCGCAATGTGCCGTGCTGCGATGCTGACACGGCACATTGAAAAGGCTCCCATGTTTCAGAATTTCAAAAGACGAATTGTCTAGCAAAGACGCAACACTTGCTGGTGAACGTGTGATATCGCCATTCATGCCCAGCTGTTGGTGATTCTTCTGGGGTTTATATTTTCACTGGCGTCGTGAAGACAGAAAACCCCGCACAGCTGGTGTATCTACCGGAAACATGGCCGGCGCAATGCATTGGCTGTGGCTGCATCCTTGCCAATAAGCAGCCATACAGACTGGAAGCAAAGTAATCATCAGAATTTCGAATCGAAGGAGCCCCGAACCAAGCTGCGAAACTGACACATGACTACTGTAATCGAAAACATTGCAGACCTTGTGGGTTTCTTGAAACATTAGAACACAAGCCAACCCGGAGAAAAACCTCGTTGCCTTGACTGGCGGTTGTCCCGTTCACTCTTGATCATCCTATCCAAAGAATAGCTCTGACAAGCGGAGACTTTTCAGCTAGCGGCCAAGGGATCCCTGTCGATCCGGTTCGAGTGAAAAAAAGGGTATCGGTCATGGTGGCTATGACTCATGTACAAATGTTCCAACTCCACTGCTGGCCTGGTGTCTGTTGCTGCAGTGCTTACACAAGCGTTTCACCGAGGCCTTGTTGCTTCGTGCCAGCCCATTGCATGTCGGGCTCAGGTGAAAGGTATCACCTGTAGTCGTCACCCAGATCTTGTCTGGGATCTGCCAGCTCGAGCCGCTTGAGCGTCGGCTCAACTCAAACTCAGGACCGAGTGTCCTCCTTTCGATAGACGGTGAAGGCGTGGTTCTCATCGGCCGGGAGGTTGCCATAGGCGATTCGCTCGATGAAGGTGAAGGTGTACGTGGAGCCTTCTTTCTCGTCTTTTCTGGCTTGCGGAAAGCCCATGTCAAAATGCCTTCAAGGCTTCGTAGTCCAAGGTACGCCAGAACGATGAAGATCCAAAACATCCAATCTCGTGGCGTCTCAACGGGTTCTTGTACTTGTGCTTGTGCTCCAAGGCTCAACATGGTGAAGGCCAAACAAACCTTTGCCGCCATGGTTTGGGTCAGTCCCAAAACGGTCATCAAAGCAAAGTTTGTACTCGTTGAAGTCTTTCTCCCCTTCCATGTCTCTTCCCATAGTTCTTGGTCACTCTTGTAGAGGTCATTCTCCGTGAGATCATGTAGGAGAGGAAGGCGACGAAGGAGTGTTGGATGTTTGTCAACGTTGCCAAATTCAACGTAGCCTGTGCTGAGGTATTGCAGGAGCTTAGGCGCTGTCATCGTTTTGGTCAATCCATCTGCCAACATGTACTCGGTGGGTGTGAGGATGATGTAGCGAAGTCGACCTGTAGCTCTTGCTTCTTTGAAAGCCAGGATGTAAAGCCGTTGCAGCTTGTCCTGAGGTACTGAGCGAGCTCCAGTGCATAGCTCGAAGAAGTCACGGCAGTCTGTTGCCGTATCCACCGGGAAGACTGTTGAGCCCTGTTCCTGGTACTCGGTGAGCAGCTTGAGTGATGGACTTGGTTCAGGAATCCAAAGTTCCGTCAAACGAATGGACACCATGCTGCTCGCTTCAAGGCCACCAATTGCAGAAAGCGTCTCTGCATGGGAGGTGCTGTAGGACACACGCTTTGCTTTTCCTCCATGGGCAAATAGCAAGTGGCCATAGTTGCTCAAATGCTGAATCTCTGGTTCTCCACATGTGATGTCGTCCTGGTTCAGCATCTCTGGAGGCAGCTCGGGCATGAGCAGGATCATCATGCCTTCTTGAGCATAGCTTTTGTCCTTTGATGCAGAACTCGCATCATGGATGCATTGAAGTCGCATCTTGGTGCCGGGCTCAAAGAAGCGATAATGGAGTCCCAGGCTCAACTTGTCTTTGGCACATGCCTTCTTCACCAACTGATTCGCTTGTCGAAGATGTTTGACCTTGGATTTGGTGATGACGGACTGCAGTGTTCCAACTTCGGCCACAATGTCCAATCGGGTGCTGCAGAGCCACAAAAGTCCTCCTAGGACTGAACGAAATTGTGTGAGCTCAGACGGAGTGAGATCTCGTTCGTCAGATCCTTCTGGATTGTCTGATGGCTTCAGACGAGAGGCGAATGCAGTCTGATCAATGCAGTAGCCTGTGGTGGTCTTGGAATACTGACAGCCGCAATGCGCAAAAGGGAGTGCATCACGTGAGATCTGGCCAAACTCATCGCACATGGCCTTGAACAGCTGGTCTTTGAACTTCTTCGATCCCACAACAGCGAGGTCGTCCACGTGAGTGGTGAGCGCTCCCAGGAGAGGTTGATCTGCTCGTGGATCCTTCCAAAAGAAGAAGCTGTCATCGAGCTTGCTCGGATGGCCTTTGGTCTTCTTGAGAAATTCGCCCAAGGATAGCTGCCATGCAACCGGGGCGTCATTCAGGCCGTAGATGGGCTTGAGGCACCATAGTCCGTACAGTGGAATGTCTTCTGGATTCACCTGGAAACTGTTGTCGACCGCAGCCAGGTGGCGCCAAGTGTTCCATGGTGGTATCAGTACCACTGCACGAGCTGGTGATTTGATGCCCTGCTTGAGGAGGATCTCTCGGATGCGATCAAAAGACAGTCCCTTCAGGAAAGCACCTGACACATCCCACGATTCTGGGTCTGAGTGCATGACTGCTGCTGTGGACATCAAAATCCTCTGCGACAATCGTGAGGCTGTGGTGGATCTCGTGGCCAGTGAATCTTTCTGAGGATCAAAGCATCCTCTGGCACACATTCTGGACTTGATGATGCGTGATCCACTCTTCATCTTCCAACGTCGCACCCAGGTGCCATCAACGATCACTGTGCCTGGAGGTACTTCAGAAAGTCGAATCTTCTGAAAGGCCTTTTCATGGACGAATTGCGCAATCTCCTTGGCATCGGCCTCTTCGACTTGTGGCCAGATTGATGGCAGGTCCTTCTCAGCAATGTTGTCTTCTGCTGTGACTGAAGCAAAACTGCCGCCGGATGCCATGTCCACAAAGAAGGTCTTATGCTTGTGTCCATACCAGTGCACCAGGTATTGTTCATGTTCTCGATGTACTTGAGCATGTTGGTGCAGTGACCTGGTGAGGACATCTTTCATTGTCAAATTGCAGTACCATTTCGGCATCACGTAGCACTCTTCCCAAAGATCTTGGGTGTAAAGGCGGTGTCGACGTTGTCGATCCATCAGCCAGTGGAGAGTGTGCAGGTTCTGGTACTCCGTAGTGACGATGGAGAAGTGTCCTTCCAACTCGTTGGTCAATGCAAGCGACCTCAAATCTTTCTTCTCCTTCTGTGTGTGGTGATCAAGTCGCAGTCTCTTCTCCGGCAGTGGCATTGTGCTTGGCGTCGGTGATGGTGGTGTCTCTCTCTTTTGAGGTAGCTGTGGGATGACCGATGACAGCGCATCTTCCATCTCCATGCGTTCAACCGGCACGCTTGCAGCTTCTGACATAGATGTGTCATCAGGCACGATGGCTGGAGGATATGGTGCATCTGGATCCATCTGAAGTGCCCGTTCCGGAGCTGATGCCGGTGAACTGGATGCAGGCTCTTCAAACGTCTCGGGGTAGTAGTAGATGTAGAGAACACATAGATGCTCCCATTGGGCCTCATGGAGGTTCTTCATCCTCATTTGTTGATCATCTTGCTTCAGCATTCTCACGAAGTTGGCTGTCCCCTTTTGCCAGACAAACAAAGTGCCCCTGGTGCCAGGAAAAGGGGTCACTGTCCTCAAGGCTTGGCCATAGATGATGCCGTGGATGTTGTGTTGCAGCCAACTTGTCCATTGAGTGAAGTGCTGAAGAACTCGTTGTTGTGTCTCAGATGGTTGCGTCGGCAAGGTCTTCCACTGTAGGCCATCAGGAGTGATGACTCGCTTGTAGCCGAGGACCATCTGCTTGTACTGCTGGATTTCTTCGACCAGTTGCATCAACTGATACATGGATTCTGCGCAAGTGTCCACGTTGTAGAACACGCCCTTAAAGGGTCTGATGAAGCGCAGAGGCATGAGGTATGGTCTGCCTTGGTGCTTGACAATGGATGTGCCCTCATCTGCATTGGCCTCAAGGAGCGTGGCTGGTCCTCTCCAAGCACCATCTCGATATACCTCAATGGTGGAAGTGCCGGGAGTCAGTTGAGACAGGTCCAGTTGATGTGTTCGAGTGTGGCTAGCTCGTGCCAGGCGATCCTCCATGATTGACTGCTGAACTGCTGTCAAGGAGATCTGTCTCAACCTCATTGCAGTCTCGAAAACAGAGAGATCTCGATCTTGTGCTCCAGTGACTGCAGTGATGTTCGGGGTCTCGAACTCATAGAAGGCACGAGGAACCACTCCAAACACTGCCATGGATGGCGAGTAGCCTCCATAGGTCATAGTCATGTTCTGGCTCACGCATGACTCAGCAGCTATGTCTTCATCTTCAACTTCCAAGGACTGGCGTTCACACTCAGCTTTGACCTTCTGCATGGTGAGCTTCACGAGGCTGATGTGACGCTCAATAAGGCCTGTTCCAGTATGCTGCTTGCCTGCTTCGCCTGAAGTGGTGCCCTTGGGATTTCGTTCGATGTTCAGGCGTTCGAACTCAACTGCTGCTGAAGGACTCATCAGGCCACTCTCCTGGTCTGAAG